CTCGAACTCAGCATACAAAATATTCCCCTTTCATTTTCAACCAGGTCGTGAATTAAAAGCATGCGTGATGGTCGGGCAGGCGCGACAGTGTGGCAGTTTTTTTCTTTAAAGTACTTGAGTAATGTCAAACTTTTTTCAAGGGTTATTTTTCAGAGCCACGTAACTACCCAAAGAAAATTTATGAAAGACGAGAGTACAAGAGTACTTTTAGAGGTTATAAAAGCGCAAGGTTAGGCTTTCAAGCAATCCGAACGTAAGCAGCAAAATCAATAATCTTTACAGATTATGCAAATCTACGTGACCTCTCCGTTTTCAGTTTAGGCACATGTTATAGACGAGTCACCGCAATGATTAGTATCAATCCATTAGCGGTCCATTCCAAATACTGTGAACTGATTGGCTACTCAACTCGCTATTTATTTGAGACTTCTAAAACAATCAGATTATGAGCTCGAGATTTCGATCGCGTGATAGTTTATAGTTGCTTGATAGTCGATGCGGAGAAGCCTGTAATTACTATCGCGTATAGGAAACGAGCGCGAAGGATCTTACTGCTCATGTTGTTCGAAATATGAGACCAAAAGAGGCTAATGTTTTTGTTTTTTCTTTTAATTAAATCGCAAACTGGCAGGCTACTTATTCTACTGACTATGTATCGGTAGTTTGGAAAATATGGAATGCCGGAATTCGGAACCGGAACCGGAATACTCGGAATACCCGGAATTCCCGGAATGACCGAAAAATAAGAAATTTTTAAAAAATAAAAGTAAGAATATTGATGATTAGAAATTGATGATAAATTCACAACTTAATNACATCACACAGTAATCTCGTGCGTGGGAAATTAACGTTTCCTACCCCTAACCCTGCAAGAGACGGGACCTTCATTTATTCGTCCCTATCCGATAAGACTAGAGTATCTAACCATTTCTTGATATAGAAAGGTAGCATATTCTTCTCACTTGATTTAAGACCTTGAGTAATGGTCCGGCCGGGGCTCGAACCCTCGACCTCCCGCACAACAGTCCAGCGCTCTATCCATTGAGCTAACTGGGAGGCGGTCACAGATCTTCAGTTGACCAACCAAGCACATGTTCAGATATATTGTCTAAATACGGAAAAAAGAGGCGGCCTCATAATATTCGATTAATTTTTTTCCTATGTTAATGCTTATCGCCCAGCTGAGTTTCCTTTGATGTAATCTGTCGGCAGATTTTTTTTTAAAGCACGTACATTATAATACATAGTGGTGTTTATTTACAAGCCGAAGTTGTCCGGAATCATATCTTGTATGACTTAACGACGTAACGACACTTTTGGGAGGAGTTTCGACTTTGAAACTATTTCTGTATTATTTATTTTACCTTTGGTCTCATTTTAAACTATATATATTTCAAATTTTACCTGTATTGTCTGATTTCAGGTGAACACAAATGGAGTTATCTCATTTCTGGTCTCAGTGGGTCAATACACCCCAGATCCATTCCCCCTGGGGGATAACCGACGCCTTATTTCGCCATTTTGGGGTGACGTGGATACCAGGAAGGGGGGAACGGTACTATACAGGGAGTCCACAGACCGTGTATTACTGGACCGAGCTACAAAGGATGTTCGACGGGCATTCTTAAATCATCAGAAATTCTCAGCCTCGTGGATTTTCATTGCGACTTGGGACAGAGTGGCTTTCTATGGAGCCGAAGGAAACTTTAAGAACAAGGTAGTAACTAGCTTTCGGCCTAATTGAGATTTAAAGACAAAGGAATAATGATAACAATAATTTCAAAAGAATCGCTGAAAAGAGAATAACCAGCTAATTGTATTTTGAAATACCAGTCGATGAAAACGTCGTTAGTGTTCTTAAGGGAAGCTGTGCTTTTAGACTTCATATTCAACTTAGAATTTTTACTCGTTTGAACCATATCAGCAGCTCGATTCTTTGTTCGTATTGACTTGAGGAATATGAACAAGTTTTAGTGAAATGAAAATTGCGAAAAGCCCAGTGTTAAAATTTTCAATGAAAAGAAACTTCAAAGCCTAAATAAGTAAAAAAATGTTCAGCAAAATATCCATTAAAAAAATAAATAGAAGTTGATGGTCACATGAGATGCTATGATATAGCTGCATAGTGCACACGAGTTTCTTTGTTACTATGGCGTACCCATCTCTACCTGTTTTTGTTTGTTTTTTTGTTTGTTTCTTTTTGGTCTTGTTTTTGCTTTTCTTTTTCTTACTAACCTTAATTCACAAGCAGAGGATCTTGAGTAAAGGGGGAAGGACTGACCACAGGAAAAAAAAAATTCATTTTTGGTATCGGTTAACTTTCTGCCAATTTTAATTTTTTTTTTTCGATGTGACATGGCGTGGTCAATTTTCAGTTCAAATGTGGTTCTTGACTGAACTGCCACCCCAGTTCTGAAAAATACACAAATTGTTTTCGCAATACAAGCCGTCTAGGGTCCTTTGTAAAACGTAACTTTCTACTCTGCATCTTTTTTGGTTTCAGGTTAACAATTTTCAAGCGGTGTTGATTACAAATGGTCGTCATTCATTTGCCTTATTCAATTATAATCAAATAGTGTGGACAACGGGTACGGCCAGTGGAGGGACTGAGGACGGATTGGGTGGAAACCCTGCNACAATATTGCACGATGTTACTATAAATGTATGGAACTGATGTAGATTTTACTTTGAATTACAGGGCGGATTTAATGCAGGAGATGGGGTAAGGTTCTTCATTATCCCTGGCTCCCGAACAAATGACATCCTTAATCTTCCTTCCACCTCCAACGTGGCCCGAGACGGTCAGTGGATGTTCCGAACCGATGAAGCGAGTGTGGAAGCTGGGGGATGCAACACAAAAGGTACATAATGTTATTGACAAGTATTTAAAATGAACAGTACGGAGTCGTTAATATAAATCTGTGGATGTCGTGGGAGCAGATAAGCAGCGGAAATACCTTGAAAACCTTAAAAATTAAACGAAACAAAACATAGTAAAAATAATAACTGAGTATTTAGTCAATGGAACAAAGAAAAAATTTACGGGAAAGCACTTTTAAACTGAACGGAAAAAATAATTTTACATTCGCAGCTTTTGTTTTTTTGGGTTTGTTTTTTTGAAAGGCGAGCATCTGTCGCAGTATTTGGCGTGAAGCATGAGAATTTTGCAGTTCCTACCTCCCCTGCTCCGCAAAAATACATTCCTTTTAGTAAAGATCCTTCAAAAATTAACAACCGCAAAAAATTACTACATTTAGGGCAGCGTGTTAGCATCAGTTTTTTCTTTCGCTGATATTTTTTACTCGCACGATGGACTGGGCTGGAAAGGAGGTTCTGCTTGTAGTCTTAACAGTCCCCTGCAGAAATTTCGGTCATTGCAAACCGAAATTAAAACCCCAGTAGTATTATACACCATCCTAACGTTCTTTTGTTTTCTTCGTAATAAACAGGATCTCTGACCATATCGCCCCGATCAGGGATCATGTTAGGAGGTACAAACGTGAAAATGAGTGGGCCCTGCTTCACTGCGGATGATAACATCGTGGTTCAACTCGACAATGACGTCAACATTAATGCAACATTTAGCGATGAGCTAACGTCATCAGTTACCATACCCGTGTTGAAGAAGACAGGACGTCTGCCATTCAAGTTATCTACGGACGGCGGTAATTCCTTCGATTACAATGGAGTGTACACATCAGGTATTTCATCAACTACACTCTTTCCAGTTGTCTGTTGAGCTCAATTTTGTCATCAATAAAAAGCGTAAATTTAAAGGGAAAATTGAAAAAATAATAAAAAGGAACAGGCACTAGATTTTCTATACGAACGTTTCAACGTCTTTCTTAGTCCGACAATCTATCTCGATATGCGAAATTTTTTTAAAATTCTACTCAAGTAACTTTTGCCATGGGATTCTATGGCCAAACTCACCAAAAAGCTATATATGACTCAAATAGTAGAGTATCGAATCGTGAAATGGAACCTTACCGAAGCTCGAATCTTCACTAGGCCCTCAGTTGCCTGTAATATTTTTCAAGAGCACCATGAACCAGTGGCCATGGTCAAGTTTCCGGATAACTCGGTTTCTTCCTCCTAAATATTATTTCTTTTATTTTAGTTCCCATAAATCGATACACTCCCGAGGTCAAGCGAAAGGACGGTGATTTATGGCAGGAGGATTCCACGGTAGACGTTAGTTGGGACTCGGGAAGCATTGGTGGACTAGACGAGGAAGTATCGATTGATTTGGCGCGCTATAAAATGGGAGATGATNGATAGCAACTGGTGGTAGAGTGGCATATTTGAACAAAGTGTCTGGTAAAGAAGAAAGCGTTTGTGATAAAGTTTTAAGACAATTCCGCGAACTCGAGAAGCATGCTGACAAGTACTCTAACAACTTGGACGCTGTCGAAGAAATGTGTTACCAAGCAAAAAAAGATGCGGAAAGATTTCGGCTGAAGGCTGAAGCCGAGAAAGAGATGTTAAAGAGAGATTCTGCCTTGAGAGCTAAATTGTATTCTTCCTTCATGGAAAAGAAAGAAAAACTAAACCGAATGGATGTCAAAGAGGAGCTGACATGCCCGACTGAGGGAAAGATGCCTGAAGCAGCTGAGAATGCACATCGGCTAACTGTGACTGGTCGAGTGTGTCAGTATGTCAGGCTTGGATTTGCCTTGTTGTTTGACGCAGTAGCTGCGTATGGTCTCTTTCAGCTTACTCAGCCATACTTTTTTTAAATCACAGCGCCGGGCCCGTAAAAAACATGGGCCCATCACTCGGTAAGGGATTGGTTAGCTTACAAGGAGTCCCTCCTTTATGGCGAACTCCGTTGCGCTTGTGGAAAAAGAAAACAATTGATGCTATTGCGCCGCATAGAATTCTTGGAGGAAGATTTTTGTTCTTTTACTTCTTATTCGAGAAAATCAGGCCCTTGATGTCTACAGATAATTAAGACAAGGATTGGTTTGAAATACTGTCTTTTCATCATTATTTTTTAGGAACATTGATGATCGTTTTATCAATCTTGTTCGAGTGTCAAGAAAAAACAGATACAGTAATGTTTCTAAGTCTCAATGGGTGTGGAGTGAAGTGTTTTCTTGGAAAAATGAGCCATGGGCTGATCGTAGATGTAATGAATGGCATAAAAAAGAACCTAATCCAGACAAATTCAGAGGTATTTATGAGAAACTTAATTCCATATGCCTTCGTGAAGGAAAATATGAATGTAATGTTATTGGAAAATATGCTCTCTCATAGAGTGGCAATTTTGGAATGATCTATGGATGCTTCTTAAAGAGAATGAATTTTGCGTTCTGAAGTCTGGATTTGATAGTAGAGCTGAATGGGTTAACGCTGAAGCTAACTCGAATCAGAGGCCATTCTCCTGGAAGATGATTTTTCGGTCATTAACTTTCAGAAATCCCCAACACAAGGGAAAGTTAGCATTCCAAAAGAGTGATGGATAGAAGCACCCATTTCGCAGTTAAAAAAAACCTCTCTGCACGCCAAAAATTTGCGGTTACTTTTTGGGCATGTTAGAAGCGTAGTGAAGAAAGTGAAATAGTTTTTTTAAAACATAAACTGCTGGATTTTCTTATTCAGGAGATCCCAGCATGCAGCCCTGCCCTCTGAGGTTGACTCAGGCTATGGCAGATCGCGGGCGCTACATGTCTGACGAGGAATGCAATCCCAAAAATCGCGATGGATGTGATCGATACCACAAGGGAGCTTTCCAATGTTTTTTAATGGTTAATCCCAGGTTAGTAGTTATTAATTTTAGTCAAGTCGAAGCTTACCGGCAGATATCATGGAAAAAATGTCGTGAAATAACAACGTCGTCTCTTCTAACTGTTGTTTTTAAGAAGTCCATATGCAAAGAAAAAAAGGAACTTATAAGAAGAAAAGAGAGGCTAATCACAAAAAGATTTGAAAGATAACTTGCCTCGATTTAATGCACTGGACCCAGTTTTTCTTCTTTTCGTCCAAATATATAGATAGGGCGTGGAACACTGATTTACTTTTTTCTTCCATAGTGCCACAGGCTCTGGTCAGCAGTGCTGCTTTAACAAAGCTGGCAACTTAATGATGGGCCAACCAGATGCAGGGTCCCTCGACCGCGTTCATCCTAATGCTGGTCTCCCTGTGTTATCCCATGTCTTCCACGATAAGGTGCCGTACCATGACTGTTGCATCAATTCTAAGAATTGTGAAAAGTACTTTGAGAAGCGGCCTTCAGACGACGGTTCGAAATACCAAGCACCAAGACCCGGTAATTCTTAATTGATCAAAAAGTGTAATGCGGCATGTAGATGACGCGATAGCCTAGAGGTTGGATTGGACAAGGAGGGGTCGCTCAAATTCACAAACGGAAAGCAAATTGTACAGAAAGGCTACGCACGCGGTGAGGAATGGTGTGGACCGGCTACAGTTTTCCGAGTGGTGTCAAATTTGCTCTGAAAGTATTTAAATGATTTGCATAATTAGGTAAACGCGACGCAGTAGTTCGATTTGTTTATTTTTAAAGCGAGTATGTTTTCAGACTGATTTGGGTGACAAAAATCCCCTTACCGATCATCCAAAACTGTGACACAAATTTAAGAGAAAAATAGTCAAAGGCTTGAGTTATTCATAATCAGGTACATTACAGTTTAATTCTTATGAAACAAATGAACCCAGTAGTCTCGATTACAGACCACAGAAATGACGCGCACTGTCCAATTACACAGGAGTGGTGCGTAAACTGGCCTTTTACAGTGTTCAGTTTTTGTCCAATTACAAGCACCCTGTACACTTTGTTTTATTGCTAGATAAAGCGAACTGCTAATGGCCAATCATATTCAGGCACTTTGTTTTATCTTTGATAGAAAGTGGGGAAAAACTTACTTACAATGCTTTGATAGTGATTTTCTTTAGCAGTTCATGTCGTCTTTATTTCAATAAATTCTATTTCCCTCCCCCATAGCTACCGGTTTTGGGGACCCACACATGGTTACCTTAGATGAGAAGCCATTTACGTTCAACGGATATGGCGAATACTTCATTTTGAAAGTGAAAGGAGTGGAATTCACTTTGCAGGGGCGTATGCAGCCCCTTTTAGCAGACGAGGGATCTCCTTCAAAAGCCACGGTATACACGGCATTTGCAGCCAAGGAGAACGGATCAGACGTTGTGCAGGTCAGGAACATGACAGGACGGAAAACACGTGCACTGTAAGTACCTCTCGTTGTCCCATACAAAGCCTTAGAAAATTTTTCTAAGGCTTAGTGTGGGATAACAGGAGGTACTTACAGCGCACGCGTTTTCCGTCCTGTCATGATGAGGAGAGTGCAAAAAAAGATTATTATCTTATATTTGATGCGATGGACCAGACGTAAATTTGAACTTTGAAAATTTATTTTCACGATGTTATGGTATCAGGCCATCATTGCCATGCGCGACACAAGGTAGCCTATTGGTTAGAATTTTGGGCGCAAGACCGATAGATCTAGACAAGTCCAGGTTCGCTCCCTGTCTGACTCACCTACTTTGCTCTCAATGCACCCCCCCTGTTCACTCAGGTGTGTCAATGGGTGACAGGATCATCCTTGGTCAGCCAGCACGACTTAAATCATTTGTGAATATAATTAAACTAGTGTCCATAATGTTCGCTTAGTAAAGTATATTCTATACGAGGTGTCGCGTTCTTAGCGCAGTGTTCAACCGAAACACGAAGAGTATGCAAATCGATGGTTTATTTACCTTGAGTGTCGACTGGTGAAACTACATGTAAATAAAATACAGAAAGCGTTGAAACGAAAACAGGAAACAGAAAATACGACAAGGCAAAAACAATAAAATAACGGAACGATGAAAAGTTACATGGATGGTGCTACGATGAATGATAAACTGACAAACTGAGGTGATAAATTAAGGTGAAACCTACCGAAACTAAAAACGCAACACACGACTGTGAACCGAACGGGCCTGGGAAACTAAGCTGACCGAGTGGGTCCCAGGACCCACTGACAAAAAAAGAAGGCGGCAAAAGCCGTAACACAAGGCTAAAAGATTAAGAAAAAAATTAAAAATTTTGAACCAAACGTTTTCGGATGTTTGTCATCATCAGGGTTGATGATGGCTTAATAGCCGAAAACGTTTGGTTCAAACATTTTAATTTTTTTCTTAATCTTTTAACCTTGTATAGAATATAATTAAACTAATTGTTGCATTTATTTAAACTTTTTCCTCTTCTTCTGCTCAATTTAGATCCAGCTGAATGGTCGTGGCTTAGTGGATGTTTTGGTGAATGGGGAAAGAGTTGATTTTGATGAGCTCTCCCTTCTGGAATTCACCGGAGTCTCCGTGTTGTATTACATCAACACTACCAAGTATTCCATCATTTTTAACTCCGGCATCTCTGTTACAGTTGAAGGGCAACAAGAGTTGCTCGGTCTCGTGACTTTGGTGCCAACAATTTTTAAAGGTAAAGATCAAGAGAAACTCTCTCCTAAGTACAACTATTCGTCTCCGCAGTTTATTTTCAACGTTTATGAGTCTAAAGAAGAGAATTATCCTAGGCTAACTATGGCAAACTCGTTGCCCGGCCGAGAGAGGAGAGTTCTCACGTGGATAGGTGACTCCCTTCTTTACGTCAAAAAAGATAAATCATATTATACTTACCAACGAAGTTCAAGGTCTTTACTTTATTGACAGTGCTTTTTATCTTTGATTTATGACTCAAGCGAGATATGCCCAGGTCTTAAGTCGACGTGAAGCAGTAAGAAATTGTAAATCGCGGAAAAAACTGAGACCTACTAAAGTTACGCATGTTAAGCACAGAAGTACGTAACATGCGTCAAACGGGTTTTGGGGAAACGATTCATAGTCACTAAGAGTGGATTCGTATTTGAACGACGCACTTTGAAAGCAAAACGAGGCTATTTGTCATTTAGCCTTAATCAAGTTTTAACAATAATTTTGAGAAAACAAAGGATTTAAACAAGTGACTTTGGATGAAAAGGTATCTGAAGATAGCCTTCTTAATTGACCTATCGCAAAGCGTTTGGTAGCTGTACGTGAGATTGCGCAGAAATGAAACAACGTGGTACACTCAACCTCTTTAATAGACAAGCTGAAAAATCGAAGTAAGACCCAGAACTGAAAGTTAGATTCTTCATTGCAGGTAATACGTCCGGTCTCCTTGGTTACTGGGATGACAGCCAAGAAACGGAGTTCCTCAAACCCGACGGAACATTCTTGAATACAAATTCGAGTTTGGAAATCATACACAGGGAATTTGGACAATTATGTACGTAACTCAATTATTTCAACAAAGCTTACTTCCAGTTATGATTGCCCTTTGGTCTTCTTTAAATTACTTTAGGTTACGGAATAACCTTCCAGAGTTTTGCAAGTCATAGAAATCTCACATAGCCTTTTTAAATTGCAGACTCCTAAATCGATTCATCAAAAGCTTATGGAGCTGGGTTTAAATATAAATTACAAGTTAGAAATAAAATTTTGGTTGAGTTTTTTTCCTAAGTGCAGATGCTAACTTGTACTGCGTCCTTTGCGATTGCCAACCCCTCCCGAACGATTTCTATAATTATGATTCTATATTCTTCTGGCTTCTTTCACACTATTAAGTCTATTAAGTCTATTATCATTTCACACTATTAAGTCTATTAAGCTACAAAAAATTATGTCGAGGTGTTTTTTTTGGCCTTATTTAGTATAAAAGATCTCAATAAAATGTAATGATTTGAATTTGAAACTACGGCATTTAGGACTTTCAAAGATAGATATCTAAGTTCTCCAGTGCGTAGCGAGTTTTTTTCCTTATTTTCTCAAAGGCTGACAACATAAGCAAAAGCAACGAAAGAAGAGTCACGCTGGACACAATAAGGATATTGCTGAATAGCGCTTTTTACCGTGAAACTATCCCTTAAAGACCTTAAAAGAGCACTTGACTGTTACACCTTTTCTTTCATCCGCAGGGGTCACCAAACCAGATGAGTCTCTCTTTGTTTATCAACAAGGGCAGGACCACTCCACATTTCACCATCCAAATTTTCGGCCAATATTTCCGGACAGTCAAAAATTGGATTTCACTGATAAGGTGCTGGAGAAGGAAGCCCAAGATGTCTGCGGAGATAGCTCCGAGTGTTTGTTCGATATTTTCACAACTGGCAAAGTGCAAATCGGACGAGCTACAAAAGAGACTGTGACTCAGTTTGTTGCTGTAGTGAACGATACTGTGAAGCCAGGTTGAGAATGTTTATCCTTATAGTTTATTACGATAGCTAAAACCTCAATTCACAGTAGTTGATCCTCCAGTGGGGTGTTTACGAGCTCCAACATCTCTCAACTGCAAAATTAGGCCAGGTGTTAGACCTTCTGAGTGAAAACGAGTTTTATTTACATAAGAATAGTAATCATTTTCGTCCAGAAGGCTTTCTAATTCGTGTCTGCGGTTCAAAACAGAGCTTTGGACGTCCCGTAAATTGCACAATGATGCCAGCCTGTGTTGGGCCTCTTGGGTGAAAACGAGTGGTTTTTTTTTTACACAGGAAAAGAAATATTTTGCACCTCGTGTCTGCGGTTTAAAATTTGGGCCTTGGGTGTATCATGAATTGCTCAATTCTGATAAGCCGTGTAGACTAGATGACGCAACGGTGCAAGAATCTTTTATGCATGAGATAGTGATCACATATTCCCACAGAAGGAAGGTTTTTACACTCAGTCATTCGACAACAATCCCCAGTGTCCAAACGACTAGATACCTAACAAAAACACGTTTATGGATATTTACTATGTCGGGATTCTTCCATGTGTTTCATGGTCAAATGATTAAGGTTGATCTGACAATCGCAAGGGTTGCTAAATCGTGTGTTGTTTTCCTTACTTTTCAGCTTGCGTACCACTGAACTCGCAGTTGGCCAATGGGGTTGTACATAGAAATGACACTGATGGTAGGATTGATTACACGTTTGCCTGCATTGAAGGTTTCTTCATGAACGGTTCTAGTCACTTGACGTGTAAAGATGGAGTTTACAATGGTTCGGCTCCAAATTGCTTGCCAAAAGGTAGAGTAAACCAATGGTAATTTTCTTGTGGCCATAAATTAATATGTTGACTTTTCCTGCGTTTTTCTCCCAGCACGATCAATCGATAGCATCGATAATACATACAGTTTGATAGCAAAGGGTATCAATAGATACAGTATAGGTCACCGTGGAAATAAAATTCAATTTGACTGACTGATACTTCTACACCAAAATTTGAACGTGTAGTCTAGTCATACAGGAGACGTTTGACGTGGCGAAGACTTTGGTTGATAGTAGTGACTGACGTTTCGACAACTTGAGCTGGAGTTTTCCTATGCATCAAAGTAAAGGTTGTCAAAACGTTAGTCATTACTAACGACAACGATCTTGCTTGGGAACTTCTCTCACTTGAGCGGTCAATCCAGTTTTTTAACGGCAAAGTTTGCAATCGTGCTCAAATCAGACTGAGAAACGAAAAAGAGCACGTGGTAGTCGTATTCAACGCTCTCCTGATTTCTCTTCTGCCAGATAATTCAAGATAGCCTCTCGTTCGAATTAACAATTGTTTCATGGGCATGCGTCTGTATGCGTTCATTGAAGTTTGAAGTTCGCAGAAAGTTAGAAGAGCGTGAAAGACGTTAAAGTCTCTCGATGTGCAGCGATATTTCAAATTTTGTGTTTAGAGCCTCCAATACCTGCACGGACGTCATCAGTGCGAACAATGTACACTCGCGCAATTGAATTTGCACAAGAATTCGCTAGTCATGTGGTAAGACGAGTCGATCGGTGATTCAAGTAGCCATGCCTACGCATTGTGCATGATTTTATTCTTGTCGTCTCGCACAACTCTCTGAGAAATGATAAAGAATTGAGGACTTCTTTAATAGGATATAAAATCAATGGAGACTCACAGGCGTGGAAACTCGAATGGGAACTGTTATACAACAATCCAGATTTGGTTTATCTGTATTTGGAGTACTTAGCCTATAATGGAATCCCGGATTCCTCGACGCTGGATAGATTAGCAGTGGAGCTCAAAGTTGACAAGGAGAAGGTAAGAGCGACGGGTTTAGCTGTTTTACTTTTCTTTTATTCATCCATGTAATTTACCTTTGGTTCGGAATTGATTCTCTCCTTAATTTTTTGGCTGGTTTGTCGTCGTAAAAGCATTGATGTAGTCATTAAAATTCAATACCCATGAATTTCGTTCTATAATAGTAAAAGAAAAAGGATAGAATTTTACTATAATTTAAATGAGTTGAAGGGTATGCTTATCAATGCAATCTCGAACCGTTGGCTTTTACATGCAAACTTTGCTTGACGTAAATAACCTTGTTTGCATCAGGGGTCAAGGGTCAAGGGTCAAGGGTCAAGGGTCACAGAGAACTGAGAACGATCATCAAAGTTATTTGCATTTCACTAAACTCGTAATGGTTTCCTATTTTAGTCAGGTTTATTTTTCTGCCTATATTGACTTATTCTTATTCTGCCTATATTGACTTACTCTTTCCTTTTCATTTAATTTTGTACTTATTTTATGTTATCTTATTTTTATCTAATAGATCTTAAGCTGGTTCAAGTTTCTGGATAAATAGTATTGTAACCCGAACCAGGGAATGTGGAGCAATTAGTTGTGGAGCAAAGTTGGCTGCGAGGCAAATCTAGGAAAGATTACGATCAAATTTCTATTTTTCTCAATTGTTCGATTGAGAGAACATAATATATTCAATAAATACGAAAAAAAAAAATAAAACTTGCTTATTTTTTCAATCTTTTCATGGTTGTATTTGAGGTAGCAGGGAATGAACTTCACCCGCGGGCAAATATCTTTCACAGTGATGAAAAGATGTCCTACTCTATGTACATTTCTCTCGCACGATCACGCTATCCCTTAGCAATCCTCACAAGTGCACTGATCGATATCCCATGATATTATGATCAATTTACAGTACCGCTGTGACTGAGCGACTAAGTTGTGGTGCAGATTTGACTCAAAGTATTGGCTATGTTCTAAACAAGGAGGGGGGATTTTTACTGATGCTTTAAATCAGTTGAGTTGATCGGACAGCGAGTTGAAGCAAACCATGCGTGAGATCATCCAGGGTTGATTAAGCATGCGAAATTTGAGTATGATTAAACAGGTTGGAAGTTGAGAGTGGGCCTGTAAATTTTGGTCAAACACGAAAAGCTAATGTGAACTAGCAAGATGTACGTATTTCCAAACATACAAAGTTCTCTTAAATTACGAGTTTTGAAAAGTTGTAGTATGACCTATTATTATCCAGCTGAGTTTCATAGACTACAAATAACGCGCGAGACGAGTACAAATAACACGCGATATT